ATAGAGCACCTTATCGCATTGTCAAGATGTCTCATTTCACATTTCAAGCATTTCACAGAGACACTTCACACAATGAGTTGAAGTGTTTTATTTGACCCAACTAGTCCATGTATGTGGTGTTCATACTTCACACGAGCCTCCAACCCTCCTATTCCTTTCTCCCTCATCAAGTTTCGTTTTTAAATACATTGATGCTCCTGGAAGTGAATTCTACATTTTCACGACCCTGTGCAGAAAAAATTCCTTCTGAACTGCCTTTTAGATCTGCCTCTTGCTATCTTATATTACATGTGGTTACCTGTATTTATCAACTTCATTTTTGTCAATTCCAATTTCATAAATTCCTTCATACGTACCTATTTTTATGGCAGCCAAATAGTGCACCAAAAATAAATGTATCTTTTAATGTTTTGCTATTTCAAGAAACTTGAAAGAGTCAGCCATATCTTTTTAAATTACAACTGCAGGCAAATTGTGGAGACCTGTAGCTTCATGGTTAGAGCACTCGCCTCGCAAGCAAGAGGACCTAGGTTTGATTCACAGACAGGGCGAAATGTTGTGCAAGTTTCTGTTTACCTAGCAGTGGGTAGGAACCCAGTTATTGGTCGATTGGCAGATTGCTTTTTCAGGGGGTAATAATTCCTTCAAAAAAACAAAAAATGTGGTCACTCAATCGATGACTGTTTGTGGGACACTGCTGGGTGCAATTGGCTGCCGCGTTTCGCCCACAAAGTATACAGTCACAATGACTTTATAATATATTCTGTGAAGCACTTTGAGACGTCTTGAAGATGTGATAAGCGCTATATCAAATGCAAGAATTATTATTATTTATGCCCTTACGTTTTGGACTCACCAGAAAGTGAAGAGTCATGAATTTTAATATGTGGAAATCAGATTTTTGGGCTGGATTTGGGTTGACATCAATGTTTGAAGTGGAATCTGCTGGATTATTGACGAATCAAATCGAGATTGTCTGTGTGCATTCTTTCTCCAAGCCAGAAGTGACAAGTTGGATAAGTGCAATGTGGCAACTACTTATGCTGGGAAAGTTAGCTATTTTCATTAGTCAACTTTCAAGATTGTTTGCATGAACATTAACTCTTTGCCTCAGAATGTCGTATTTATTGCCTCTGTGGTCATAAAGTGATCTAGCTACAGGCAATGAACTGGTATTACTGTAGGATGGAAAGATCACTGACTGTTCAGATGGATTCTAAAGATCCTGTGACACTATTTGAAAAGAGAAGCCATTTTCTACTGGTATTGTGGTCAACAATCCCTGAGATAAATTGGAATTCACTTCATGGCTGTTTGTGGTATACTGCTGTACACAAATTCGCTGCAAACTGCACTTTGCAACAATTACTGTAAAGTATTGTTTTATTTCTGTTTTCAACAGTAACCTTTTAAAGAAATTGAAAGAGGGCAAACTAACAGGCAATTTAAACATGTACCTGTTTACAGGCTGGTCGCAGAAACCTGGTAATTGTTACCATTTTTTAAGGAACATAATTCTAAAATTACACTGCACCATGTAATGAAACCTGCTTCATGTTTCATTTGATTTCATTGCTAAGTGGTTGCATTGAGGTATTTATCACAATTCAACGCAACTCATTATTATTACAGAAACTATTTATTTCCGCAAATGACTAAGACTGACAAGAGGTTGTGAATTGAAAGTGGGACAAAGTGCACTGGGGCTGTTTCTTGAACAGTTTTTGATATATTTTTTCATGAGAAATTTTATGGGAGTGCATATCAACATCCAATGTTGATTTGCTGAAGTCTTGAAAAGCAAATCATTCACAAAAGGAGGATGAAGTATTCACAAAATGCATTACATCCTCTTCCCAAATGTGCTTCATATGTGCCAGGCAAAGAAGTGAATCTCCTTTCTGATTGAATTCTGTAGTGGTATAGGAACTGAATTTAATGGTTATCAAATGGTAGTGCATCAGGCGAAAAAGCAGCGGGACTTATTACATTTTCCCAAAACATGAATACATGAAAGTACCTGAAAATGTAGCCATAATGCACATCCTATTTTTAGGTGTCTCAGTTGGCTGTACCCTCTAGAACTCCATCCCGCAGCCCCTCCATCTCGCCCCCTCCCTTGCCACCTTCAAGACCCATCTCAAGACCCTCCTCTTCGACCGTGCTTTCAATCTCCCTGCTTCCCTCCCTGCCCTCCACCCTCCCTGACCCCCAGCTCAGGTCCATAACCCTGTCTGTCCAGCTCCTTGGGACGTCCTCCCGACGTGAAAGGCACTTTACAAATGTAATTTTGTTGTGGTTGTTTTAGGTTCAGGCCTCATGTCGGGACTTGCAAATCTATGCTGACACTTGAATGCAATATTGGGGATGTGCAACATTGTTAGAGGTGCCATCCTTCAGATACAATGTTGCTCCAAAATCCTATGTGTCTGTTGAGAAGTTAAGGTTATGGAGGAGGATGATAATAATACTAATCCTCGCATTTGGTATAGCCCCAGAAAATCAATGATGTTTTAATGACCTTTAAATTGTTGAATTACCAATTAAATTCAATTATTTTGAAGATAATTTTGGGCGGAAGAATGAGGAGAGGAAATATACAATAAATAGTAGTTTTAAAAGGGGGTTCAGGAACAGAGAGGGTTCACCCACGCAGGTCTTTGAAGGTGGCAGGAAGGTTGAAAGAGCTGTTAAAAAGCATATGGGATCCTTGGCTTTGTAAATAGAGACAGAGAGTGCAAAAGCAAGGAAATTCTACGAAACCTTTATAAGTCACTGGTGAGGCCTCAGCTTGAGTATCGTGTCCAATTCTGGGCACCACACTTTAGCAAGGATATCAAGGCCTTCCAAAATTCTGCACAATCTTAAGTTTTAATACCATGAAACATTCTGTGTCTTGTGCCTCAAAACTGAAAAGCATAGGAAAAGCAAAATGTTGCTCCAAAATATCAAAGACAAACACAGAGTTATAACACGTCACTTTTACTTTAGCCTTTTGTTACTTGGGACTTTTAGGCTCAGTGAGGAGAGTTGAGTGATTCCACATTGTTAGTGGGAATGGGTACTTTGGACCGGAGATATTAAACCAAGGTCCTTTTCGCTTTATCTTCTTCAAGTGGGTGTTAGAGATTCTGCAACACTATTCAAAAAGAGCGGGGACTTTTTCCCAGTTTCCTTGGCTAACAATTGTCCAGACTGTTTGTGGGTGCCTAAATGGCTTAAATGGCTTAAATGGGTGCTTAAATGGCTTTCATATTTGCCTTCAAAATGTCACTCCACTTGACAGCAATTACCCAGGGACTTCTTTGCCATCTTTTGACATGTTAAGGTGCTATAAAAATACACGTTCTTTCTTTATAATGAGCATTCCTTGCTACATGAAAGCACTGTGTGGCAACAATATTTCTTTTCGATATCTAGAGGGAGTACTTTGAACAAAAATGCTCCCTCTAGAATTCATTTCCCCTTTAAGGTTTACAGTCTGGAAAGAAGACAGTGAAGGGAGAACCTGATCAAAGTGAGGCTCAAGATAAGATAAACCCAGAGTATTACTTCAAAGAACATCGAGAAAGTAGGACCAGAGGACATAATGAAAACTGGTGAATAGTAATATGCAGCAGATGTCAAGAAAAAAAATGCTTTATTCATAGAGTGATACATGTTTGGAAGAATCTATCAAGTAAGGAAACTGAATCACAAAGAGTGGAGCCTTTCACAACAAAGTTGAATACCATGATGAGAAAGTTAATTTATTAGATTATAAAAATGAGCTTTGACAAATTAAATGCTCTTTTTTTACATTTGTTATGTTTTACCGATGCACAACCAATTGAAATATTTCTTAAGAAGGTTGATAGATACGTTGGAAGTAAGGGTATTTAAGGGATAGAGAGAAAGGCAGGGAAATGGCATTAGACAGATAAAGAGCTGCCAAGAACTAATAAAATGGTACAGCAGGTTGAATGGGCTGAATGGTTATACCCTCTTTTGTTTTGCTGTCAGAAATCGAGCACAAAAGAGAAACTGGAGTTTTTATGAATGTCCAGAGACTACTTAGGGCAAATAATTTTCAGCCTGAGTATCACACTGATGGCAGGGGATTTGCTCATCTACGAACAAATGATGAAATGGTCGTTTGAGTGGTTTTTTTGATCTCTGCTGCCTAAGAACCATAGCAGAGTGTAGGAGATGCATCTGAAAACTAGATTTCTTTTTTCATGATTCCGTTACTGTTGCATGGCTAGTGGGAACCGCAAAGATACTTTGAATTGCAGTATGTGTATTCTTGAATGTCAAGATGCCCAATATGTATGTTGAACAGTGTTCTGGCTGACTCACTCCAAACCTGCAGCATTTCACGATCGAGTCTAATCGCCTGCATGCAGAGACAATGGTTAATCTAACTTCAAGTCTAGTCTTGGGAGACCCAGAGCTAGGATTAACTATTAGTTGCCTCCTGAAGTAACGTAAAATTAAGCAATTTTGATTTACATTTTAGCTTTGTAATTATGCTAGTATATTTATTATTTCTCTTGCAATAGCTGTTCTCTGGCACACCTTGGATGGTCAAAAACAATGAGTGATAATAAAAATGTATAATAATCGTTGTGTACCATATTTCTCCTTATGTCACTGAGATGTATCAAAGAGCTTCACAGGATTTTTACTGTAAAGTCTAGTGATTGTATATTTATAAATGAATATAGGGAAGAAATAAAATCAACTTCATGACAAAGCTACAAGTGTAGATGTAGGCCTGCAGAATTAGCTCATTTTTTTAATCAATTGAAGGAAATCCACTTCCTGGTGTATATGAAAGTAGTATAATGTAACTTGGGCTCAAGTGAAGAAATGATACTGAAGGAATCAACTACTTATTGAAGCCCTTATCCTAATTATTTCAGGTGAAATGGTCAAAAGGAAAATGCCAGTCGTGTTCAAAATCAAAACTGTGTCCAGTTACTGAAACATTGATCAAACTGTTTTATGACTTTTCACAGATTCAGAAATCCCGGAACAAGCAGTTACGTGAAATTTTCCCAGATGGATTCGGCATTCACCATGCGGGAATGCTGCGTCAGGATCGAAACCTGGTTGAGAGCTATTTTTCTCAGGGGCACATCAAGGTGTTAATCTGTACAGCCACATTGGCCTGGGGGGTCAATCTCCCTGCACATGCTGTCATTATCAAGGTAATGTGCTGGGCACCCATGTGGTTGGGGTACGTGGTATTCAAACTGTTGTAGTGCGTACAAAAGCATATAAAATTGCATATATCCATCCTCAGGAATGGATGATACTGTAACAGTTCACAGTGCAAAAATGACAGATTTGTTTTAGGTATGGCATTTATTTTAGGGAATCCAGAATTAAATACAAACTTATTTTTTAAGTTGGGTTTAAATAGAGAGAGTAAAGAGAGCACGTCGAGAACCAGATAGGTTTTCTCCTTAAAAATAGGTCAGTGATGGCCAGGCAACCATTTATTGAAACAACAAATTAAGAAATCAAGTGCTATTCGTACAGTGTCCAAATGAGACTCATGGATTTTAGACACAGGAAATATCAGATAATAAAGCTTTGCATTTATACATAACTTAATGTGGATCTTCATATTGTTTGTCTTCAGCTACTTATCAAATTTCATTTTAGAACCATAGAAATTTACAGCATAGAAGGTCGTAAGGTTCATCATGTCTGTGCTGGCGCCCTCAAGTGTAATCCTTTCAGTTCCATGTATCTGTCCTTTCCCTGTACCCCTATAGCCGAGTCTTCTAAGTTATTTGTTTAGTTCCCTCTTGAAAACCAATATGGATTCTGCTTTAACAGTGCTCCCAGCTGGACGGTCATATCCTACCTGCTCTGTGTGTGAAAAAACATGTTGAGGCCCTCCAATTACTGACTCACCGACCAGTGGAAATAATTTCTCACTATTGACTACCAAAACCCCGCATAATTTTAAAGACCTCTACCAGCTCACTCCTCAAACTTTCCAACAGAAAAAGTCCCAGGTACTCCAGTCTCCACATAGGCCAGACCACTTATCCCTGATATAATCCTAGTAAATCTCCTCTGCATCCCCTCTATCATCTTGACATCTTTCCTAAAGTGGGGTGACCAATACTGGATCAATACTTTTGAATGTTATGGACTTATATCCTCAATAGCCACTTATGACAAAGCATTTCATGTTTTAATAACCCTCTAAATGAAATACATTGTTCTAACCTCCCCCTTCTGAGCTAAGTCATTTTTTTATTTTAAAACATTGCAACAATTGGGCCTTATTTTCACTACACAGGGAATTGCAGTGTGAATCTGCAGTCTGAAAGCAGTGTTTTATAATGCATGCTTTGTCACTGAATTACAGCTGGACTGGGATTCAAATTTGATGCGTCTACAAATGTTGAGCAGAATGTTACCTGTAATTAAAAGATGCTGTGAATGTGACTGGTATGCCGTCCACACTAATAATTCTTCCCATTTGTAATAACTCCTTTGATTTCCTTTGTTTGTATTGATTAATAAACTCCTATTATAACCTTACCTTTCCATCGATAGGAATGATGTCCATTACTGGTTGTATATTTATAATGCTTTTCCGTATTTCATCCACAGGGTACTCAAATATATGATGCAAAGAGAGGTTCTTTTGTTGATCTTGGGATTTTGGACGTGATGCAGATTTTTGGCAGAGCTGGACGTCCACAGTTTGACCGATTTGGTGAAGGCATTATTATTACCGCTCATGATAAACTGAGTCATTACCTAACTCTATTGACTCAGCAGAACCCAATTGAAAGCCAGTTTCTGAATCACTTGGCAAACAATCTGAATGCAGAGGTAAGAACTTTGACATATTCTCTCAACCTTTTGAAAATCCAGAAATCTGTAAAAACCACTTCCCGTTCATAACTCTTTATTTCACACAAACAGGCACATACATACGTACCCTCACATATACAATATGCATACATACATATATACATACAGGGGAACCCAGTTATTACGCCTTGTTCACTATAACCAGCAGTGAGGTACACCTCCAGCTTCTCACATGGACCTATCAATGTCAATGGCCCCTGATGACTTCAATCGGGATGAATGATCATTTTATTTATGAGGCCATTGCAACTCGATGTCTAATTGTTTGGATCCAAAGCACCAAGTTATAACCAAGTTATTGCCCTGTATGCAAAATTATGCCTATGCACAAATGTCAACCTGACTCAGTTACAGCACTCTCACCTCTAAGCCACAAGTCCCTCATCAGAACATTGAATCCATATCATCTACTGACTCTCCAATGAAGTGCTTAAGGGATGCTGCTTGTTTAGGTGAACATGAGAAATCCCTTGATACTAATCATAACAAGAATGGAGTTTCTCCGGTGTCCTGGCCAAGAATCTTCCAGATTCATTATGTTTGTGGGACTTTGCTGCTCGCAAATACAATCACTACATTTTGCTGTATATCCTGTGAAGTACTTTGAGACATCTTTCCAACATAAAGGCGATATATCAAATTTACTTATTCTTATTAGATTCAGGCCATTTTTATGAACTAGCAGCGTTAGGTGATTTATTGGTATGTCAGCGATATTGTTAGGCATATTCCTAATATTAATATTGCAGCCTGGCATCTGTGTTCTTACTGCTTGCAAGGACTAACTTATACTTTTCCTACTACCTTAGAATTAGTTTACTAACAGGAGTTACTTTAATTCCTGATGGGAGAATGCATATTACAGTCCACAGCTCCATAACTTTCCCGTTCTGGTTTGATTACATAGAATATACAGCATGGAAACAGGCCATTCGGTCCAACTGGTCTTTGCCGGCATTTATGTTCCATATGAGCTTCCTCCTGCCCTTCCTCAATCAAGCCCATCAGCATAACCTTCTATTCCTCTCTCCCTCGTGTACTTATCTAGCTTCTAGTTTGTGGAGTCCTGTAGCTCAGTGGTTAGTGCACTCGCTTTGCAAGTGAGAGACCTGAGTTCCATTCCAGGCAGGGCGAAACCTTGGGCAAGTTTCCTTACTCCACACGCCTAATAATAATCCCTCCAAAACCAAAAAAAAAACAATAATAAATTGGTCATTTTCAATCTATGACTGTTTGTGGGACATTGCTGTGCGCAATTGGCTGCCGCGTTCGCCCACAAATATACAGTCAATTCACTTTACAGTATATTCTGTGAAGCGCTTTGGGACGTCCTCCTGACATGAAAAGCGCTATATCAAATGCAAGGATTATTATTATTATTATTCCCCTTAAATGCATTTATGCTATTCTGAACTACTCTTGTGGTAGCAAGTTCCACAGTGCCACCTTTCTCTAGGTAAAGAAGTTTCTTCTGACTTCCCTAATTGGTTGATTGGTGACTATTTTATAAGTTTCCATCAACTAAAGTCAGTACATACATAATTGCGTCCTCTGGTTGCCCATAAAACTCACCGTCATAATGTCTGATAAAAGTGCTAAATCTTCCCCGGCAACATAAAGGCTACTGAAGCATAGCATACTGTTAAATCAAAGAAAATATTGCTTCAAATAGTTTAATAATTTAAGTGTGTTCAATAAAAAAAATTGTGAAGCATGACTAATTAAATGAGTATCTTGATGAATTTAGGATTTGAAGAAAAAATAACCTGGACACAGAGCTTAAACCAGGCTTAACATTTTTCATTACTTCAGTTCCAATTCATTGGTTACTCGGGAAAAGTTTAATAAGATGGCATATCCCTAAATGCATGAAGGGAATATTCCAAGTGCCCTTAATTTTTATTCTATACAAACAACAAGCACCCCTGGGGTTTGGGGAGAGGAATCTCTTACCTCAGAGGAAAGGAGCGTGGCTGGATCATACAAATGTTGGCTTAGATTGGCTCCTAATTTCTTAGGAGCAATTTCCTTTTTTATGTCTGGAGGTTATCAGTGGTAATACAATATTCTATACCATTAGTAGCAATCTGATCTTTTCTCAGCCATATTGTAAGGTGCTGAGTTTGCAATCGCAGTCCTAATTCTTGTATTCTACTGAAAAGCAGACCAGTACCATTTCAGCAGTACCTGCTCCATCTGCAGGGTGGTTCCTGAGCCAGAGGGTCCACAGTATTCCAGAGCACAACCAGCCTGGCTCATCGGTAGGACCTGGAAGGGCAGACCAGTCACAGGGAGCTCCTGTTAATCCTGCAAGCCAAAGCCCTAAGGGGTAGGGTGGGTCCAGCTGTACAAGCAGCAGTGAAGCTTGCCGGACAGCAATATCAATGGCAAGATATGCAGTTTAAACTGGTTAGACTCCAAGCAGTACCCCTTCACACACTCTGGTGTCCTCAATCTTTGGCTCTTGTCAACCTGCGCCTAATACTTTAGATAAGCAGGATGCATCCCTCCAGGGAGAGCGTGCACATTCCATTTCAATAATCTATCTTTGGGATTTCCATGTGTAGGTGGGTTGCATGGAAAATCTCACTTGGTTTGGATTCTCTGAAGCATGGTGATGGGTTTCCACATGTGTCAGACACCTGGCCAAACAAAACAAAAAAGATTTGTGAGATTTTGGGTTAAGGAAGGCCAATTGCTGCAGTTTAAACGGCTGTCCTGAGAAAGTGAATGAGTCTGGCCTATGTGTTGTGTTTCTCAACTGAACACATAAACTTTCCAATTGACACCATCTCCATGTTTCCCCCCCAGCCCTTTCTAATGATGTCAAGCTGAAAATGATCAGCTGAAGCTGCACTGGCCTCTTAAAATCCCTTCTGCATCTCCAATTGGCAGGGAATCAGTTGCTAGGCTACTGCTTGCCTAAAATAAATGTTTACAATGCTCTATATTGTAAAAATTGAACCACAAAGAAAAATTTGAGACCGGGGAAAAGCACAGGTTATCCCAGTCACCTTCCCCTGATATTGAAAAAACACTACTCATAGAATTAATTTGCTTTCAAACATACATGCAAATTTAATCTGATCGCTTTTGATCGAGACGAGCAAAGTCAGTGCAGGGGAATGGAATACTATTTTCGTCCAATGGTCTCAGAAAAGAACACCTCTTTTCTTTTTCTTAAATTTAATGTGTCAGATTTAATGTCTCTGTATACCTCTGCTCCTGACTGCACTGCTGGTACCCCGGTTATTTCCATTATAAGTCCTCTCTGCCTGCCGACATGCGTGAATCTTACCAAACAATCAGGATTTACTGAACACCCACATGTAACATGTTTTCCTCCCATAATAAATTTAACAAATAACTTATCTCTGTCCCACCAAAAAAAATCAAGAGTTTATTTTATGTTATTTGCTATTCTCTCCCCCCACCCCACAACATACACCGGTTTGTGGTGGGATGTACAGAAGCTCTGATCCCATACTTCTTACAGTCCCGCTCTTTCACCAGCAGCTACAGAGTAACGTGACAGTGACTCAAAATGACTTGCCTTCTCTCACTATCCCTCATCTGTCAGAATTGGGTCTCACTTCTATTCAGTACATGTAGAAAATCCAGCTGAGCTCAAGAAGTCCCCAGTGTTTAACCATTCTGTGGCACACATCTGTAATATGGGGATAGTCTTTTAATAGAAAAGGATAGCGAGTGCAAAATGCTCATTTTAACTGTTAATAGAATGATATCAAAGTAGATACTATACACCATTTATGTACAGGTATCTATCACTATTCTGCTGGGGCTCCGTCTCTCTTCATTGGAAATAATTAGTATAGGGTTTGTGCACTTTTATATTTAATAGAAATTGAACGAGAATGCCTGCAACCTCAGAGAATTCTATTTGTATCATAAAAAGGAGAGCAAACTGGGTCATTGCCAGAATATGTAACCAGTAGGCATTTAATGGTCAGCAATATCTTCAATAAAAAAAATCTATTACAGATATGGGAAAATCAGGGGTCAATTCAGCTACAATTGAAACTAGGATAAATTGGTAAGGCATGGACCAAATGTAACTTTGCAGCAAACAGAAATTGCTTTTTTGCCCTCAGAGGAGAAAGATGATGAAACTCGGGGAATGGCGGCCAGCGTTCAGCTGTGGACAACACTGATGTTTTTAGCGTAACTACTGCATTGAAAAGACAAGTGAAAAAAGTGTAGCTTCCACAATACTTACAACCAGAAATGTCCTGCTGATGTGCTTGTCGCTCAATCAATATTAAAATGAACTGGTTGTGTGAACTCAGGAAAAGAGATGTTTCTCAGAGCTGCAGGAGTCACCAGGAATACAAGTTCATCGCTTGCTAGGTTTTATCACTTACCAAAGAAACGTGCTTATTAATTTATGGATTTGTGCCAAAATGGGGAAACCGAGTGGCAAAATATAAATTTGGTGCAATGCCTAAGGCCAATCAATGAGAAGAAGAAATGCCCTGCCGTAAAGTTTAGTAATAACCCAAAATACCAAGTTTAGATTATGGTAGAAGCCTGGTCAAAATGCGCTTTGTTGTAAGTGAGAGCCGCAGCAGAAGTCATACGGTGGAGCATTTTGACAACAGGAATTCCAAAATGGCCGACCCCCCCGGACATTTAAGCACCGATAATGTCACATCCTGCTCAGCAGGTGGCTGGGTGCGTGCACAGTAAAACCCACTATAACACGGGTTGAAATTCTATGGATTCCAAGCACCACGTTACACAAGGCGCGTGCTCTGCGGTACCAGGGTGTCAGCCTTTTTTTTGAGTTGGAAACTATAATGTCTGACTTCCGGTTCATTAGGTCACTGTTGATGTCACTTCCTGTGTTGTACATGCCCAGCGTTAGTAGGATATGACGGGGACCTAATGTCGGGATTCCAGTCTGCGGAGCCTGGAGACACACCAAGGGTCTGATTCAT